AAAAAAAGGAGAGATGTGGGTAACTTTGCCACCCATTGTGGCATTCTGCTTCATATAGTTTGCATTCACACCAGCAATTCTTGTTTCCCCAAAGCCTTACTATAATAAATCATGAGTCAACTTTTAAGATTTGGGGCAATCTCATAGGTGAGAATTGATTTCTCAGTATCACTTAAGTTTGTGTTTCTTTCATCATGATAGATGGTGGGTTTCTCTCTCATGATGCTCATAGTTACAGCAGGATCAAGGACTGGGAGGATGGACGGAAGGGGTGTGGCTTCTGTGAGTGTCTGGTGCTTGATGACGGAAGCGGTGCTCCCCTTACTGGACCAATTCTGCTGTATGGTTTTGTAACTTCTGGTCTGTAGCTCTGAGCTTTTGGCCTTTCTGCCAATTCTCTGAACCCCTTAGTGTTGTTTCAACTTGGCCTTATTCATTGCAGGTTTTTGTGGTTAGCACTTAGGGTTTTGATGGTAATTGTGTCAAGAAAGAAAGTTGGCAGGGCGTTTTAAGGAGACGTCCTGAGTTAAAACACATCCTCAATGGCACGGCAGATTGGTAGTGCAGGAAGGAAGCTGGTGTATGAGTGAGGATGGTCTTTGGAAGCAGTAGCATCACCGGGGTTGGTGTCATACCAACTCATGGTGTTAACTCACAGTGTCGTGTTCTCCATGGGCCTCCTGCCATCCCAGGCCATGTAGAATCTTTCTCACTCAGGAGCTTGTGGTTGTTGGGTCAGAACTGACTCAGAGCCTGGCCTCCATTGGGTTCCTCAGTCTGTAAATTGCACAGAAGAAGGTTGCCCATCTTTGTCCTGCAGAGCTGCTGGTGGATTAAACCCACCAGAAAGGTATGGCCTTTCTTGTTAGCAGTGTAACTCCCTCTGGGCTATACCACTACAGCCCCCCAAAGAATCTTTAGCAATGTTTACTTCGATTATAATCATATGCTATATGATAAATGAATTTGTAAATTGGTCAATTATTTTTAGAGTATACGAGTATGAGCTTGGAATGTGGATAAATTGTTATAGTGTCTGCTGTAAGGGGCTTAAATGTGTTTGGTATAATAAAGATGGCATACAATAGAACAGGGTTCAGATCTATTGTTTTAATAGGGTCTCTATGAATCATACTTGATTCAATGGCACTTAACAATAACCACAACAACAACATAATTAGGGAGTTCTAGTGGCTTATTGATGAGGAGTATCAGTGCCAACCCAGAGACACATGGTTCAAATCCACCAGCTGACCCATGAGAGATAGATGAGCTATCTCCTCCCATACTATTTACAGCCTCTGCAAACTCACTGGAGGGTTGGCTATGGGTTGGTTCTGACTTGATAACACCTATTAACAACAACATAATTATTTTGTTTTGTAAAATCATTCTACATTGAGTTACAACATTATTGAGAACTAAGCAGAAGCTTTACAATGTTTTTCTTCTTTGCTCTTTTTGGGCACCCCGGTAGCATAGCCATACTATGTTGAAATGCTAACCAAAATGTTGGCAGTGTGAATCCACCAGTCAGTCCATGGTAGAAAAGTGGGAAGGCTCTTTCTATAAGAATTTGCAGGCTTGGAAACCTGACGGTGAGTCAGCAGGAGTTGAAACCTACCTTCTGGTAATGAGTTCGGTTTTTCCTTTATTTAATTCTCTTGGATATTATCGATACAAATTCACAAATATTAATTATCAAAATATTGTACCTCAGGCACCAGAAAATTTGACAGAATCAGTGACTGTACAAACAGTGCCAGGAATGAAAACAACAGTGCATATTTGTAGAACATGCACATGAAGCTATGTGACTCAAAGTGTCACTGTCGTTGAGTAATAATGACAGCTCATTGTAACTAACCACAAAAATATTTTTATAAAAACAATTCATTTCTCTTGAAACATTGCACAATCTTTTTTATAGTTATTTTAGTGTTGGTTCCTTGGGCATTACCATCCACTGTGATCTGCACCCCACAATCCCCTGTTGATACCACTGTTTGGAAGTCACAGTGACCCATTGTGACTCTCTTAGGAGTCACATGATCTGCTGGAGTTTTATATACTTTATCCCACAGCCAATCAGAGCCGAGAAGTGTGTATTCTAACACTCCATTTGTACACATTTCAGGTTGTACCATCTTTGAAAACTGCAAGACCTGCCGGAATGGCTCGTGGGGAGGCACACTGGATGACTTCTACGTGAAGGGGATTTACTGTGCAGAGTGCCGGGCTGGTTGGTACGGAGGAGACTGTATGCGTAAGTAGATCCTGAAATAGCTCCACCTCCAGCACTTGCTTTTTTAAAGACTCTGCCTGTCGAAGAGCAAGGTTCATTTGGTTGGAACCTGAGTTCTGGAAAGCTTCTGGTCAGAGGGCTTTCTAGTTAAGATGAGAACCAAGCAAGGCATGCTTCCATCTGCTGGGTGTGGATCATAGACATCTGTTTGGAATTGTTGGCCACAAGAGGATTTTATTTGCTTTTAAATCTCCTTTCTCCTAAATAAATCCAAGGCATTCTGCCCACAAAGTGTTTTATGTCCATTCCAGAAGCAGTTGCATGGTAGTGTAGGTCAGCAAACAGTGACTAAGTCTTATAAAATGTCAAGTTTGTAGTGCTTTTTATTTACTATTTTTAAAAAATTGTTAGCCTTGTGATTTATTTGAAAAATATTTATTATGCTTTAGGTGAAAGTTTCCACAATGAATTTGGTTCCCCTTAAAATTTTTGTACAAATCATTTCATGCCACTGGTTATAGTTTTTACAATGTGTCAGCATTTTCATTATTTTCAATTTGTTTATTCTGCTTCCATTGATCTAATTTCATTTCCTCAGCTTCTCAACTTTGCATTTGGGTAAATATTAGTCATTTGGACTTCTACAGTTAATTGTTTAAGGGAACACATTACTCACTAGTAATAATGTTTATCTTGCAAGCTGATCTATAATTTAGCAGAAAGATGACCTACAGAAATAGCTTCAATTTCAAATTCAAAGATTATTTTAGGATGTTTGTCTCAGGGGTTCCTTTAGTCTCTATCAATGCAGTAGAAGTTTTGATCTTTTTAAGAAAATTTTGTTCTTCATTTTTCTTCTATTCTATCTGGGACCTTCCATTATATCTCTATCAATATGGTTGGTTGAGGTGGTTAAGCACCATCTATCTATTTCTTCTGATCTCAGTTTAGAAGAGACTGGACCATGTGGACTGGTTTTCTCTTTAAGCCTTTGATTTATTTCTTCCCTCCCTTCAAGTAGAGGTCAATACTTATATCTTCTATGGTCATTTGAAAAGTTTTAACATCCCAGACATTACTCACCAAATTAAGAGGTAAGACATTACCTTTGTGAACTTTGTTATGTCAGTTGACTTAAGTTGACCCCAAGATTATGGTTCCAAGACTTTTAAACTGAGTAAACCAATCCTATGAGTTGTTTGGCTATGGCTATGAAGCCTCCATAACTGTGTCCTTTATGTGCTTTGTTATCTATACATCACATTTAAACATACGTGTGGGCTCTAAGTCTATGAGGGCAGAGATACCATCAGCTTTAATAGTGGTTTCTTGGAAGCCTAGAATAGTGTCTTCTAATAACTGTGCTCAATGTATGTAGTCATTCAACAGAATAAAGGTATGTTCTTCTCTGAATCATCTCCGAAACCTTTTCATCTGATCCAATAAATATTATTTATTAGTTTATGGAGAGCTCTGGTGGCCTAGTGGCAAGAAGCTGCACTGCAATCCCAGGTGAGTGGTTCAAATGCACCAGATGCTCTGTTGGAGAAGGAGGGACAATCTCCTCCTGTACCAGTCAGATCTGATTTGACAGTACACACACACACAAAAATAATAAAAATAGATAAATAAAATAAAATTACAATAAATATTATCTATTGTTTTTTTTATTTATTTTTTTAAAATATTATCTATTGTTGTTGTTGTTGTTATGTGCTGTTGAGTCATTTGCGACTCATAGCAACCCTATGTACAACAGCCCTAAACCCTGCTCTATCCTGTGCCAATCGCATTGCCTCTGACACACCCATCCCGATTACCCCAGTCACTGAATCAATCTACCTCATAGAGGGCCTTCCTCTCCATTAGTCTATTAAAAAAAGCCAAACAAACGTGTCTGTGGGAACAGGAGAGCTTAGTTGTTGGAGTCACACAATTTAATGGGTGGAGGGAGGGGTGGGTAAAGGAAAGGGGAAAGCTCCAGTGTGAAAACATTGTATATGAATTTTATAAGTAAACCAATCTAAAAGAAATAAACAAAAAGCAAATGAAAAATGCATATAAATATGCCTACAGATACATTTATATATGTATAACTCTTTAGTCACATAAACCTTTCTATATGTGTATATACTTCCCTATCTGCCACATAACCACACACTTTTTTTAATTGTTTTTGCTGTTGTTACAAAACTCTGTATGTTGTAGCTTTCACCAAAATTGTTCCTTTTTCTCATGAACTTCTTGCTGTTATTTTTGTTATGTGCCATCGAGACGCCTGTGACTCATAGTGACCCTATGTACAACAGCCCTAAACTCTGCTTGGTCCTGTGCCAATCTCAGCATCTCTGACACACCTCCCTCCAGTCACTGAATCAATCCATCTCGTCGAGGGTCTTCCTCTCCTGCACTGTCCCTCCACCCTTCCAAGCATGACATCCCTCTCCTTAGTGTCTTTGTTTACCTTGGTAAAATTATGCTGGCTTTGCTCATATTTAGTCTAGTTTTCTCATGATAAAAAAAACCCACAACAAAAAAAAAAGTGTTGACTAGCTACAAAGTGATTCTCCTTCCCTCTTCCTCCTATTCCTCCTGGTAACAGTGAAAGAAATTTGCTTTCTGTGTATGTCTATTCTTGACTCTTTAGAATAGTGAGACTATACAATATTTATCTTTATGTGATTTATATATGTAATTCAGCATGTCTTGCAGATTTCATATATGTTATGTTTCTCAGACTCCTCATTATTCTTTATGGTTGTATAGTATTCCAGTGTTTATATGTACCACAGTATTATAGCTTTAGGGCCCTTCTTTCCTTCCATATAGCATTGGAGATTACTTTTTCCATTCTGTTATAAGGAGCTCGGGTGGTGGCCTAGTGGTAAGAATCTGCCCTGTAATCCTGAAGGTGCACAGTTCGAATCCACCAGCTGCTCCACAGGAGAAAGATGGGCAGTCTCCTGTCCAATTTCAGCCTCTGTAAACCCTCTGGAGGGTCAGCAATGGGACGGTTCCAACTTGATGGTACACAACAAAAACAGCAATCCTGGGCTTCCTTCTCTCTCATAAAAAATTGGAGATTAGTTTTCCATTTTGTCAAAGAATTTTGGGTTTGGGTTTGGGTTTGAATTGTATTATATCTCTGGATTGCTTTTGATAGTATTAACATTTCCACAGCCTTACATTTTTTAGTCCATGAGAAAGAAAGGTTTTCCATTTATATAGTTTTTTTTTTTAGCTCCTTGCAGCAGTGTTTTTATCCTTTTTCTGTGTGACTCCTTTTATCCCCAGGCTGTTGTAAATGGTACTTTTAAGAAAATACCTATACAGAGTCGTCTTCTAAGTATGTTGCTATTGTTATGTGCCGTTGAGTTGGAACTGACTCATAGCTGCCCCTGCAGAAGGTTTTCAGAGGGGATAAATGGCAGGAGAAGAGATTGCCCGTCTTTCTCCCTCAGAGCAGCTGTCTTGCTGTGAATCTCTGGATTGCCAACACAATTCCTTACCACTAAACCATAGTCTTATAAGTAGAGAACGTTGATTGATTTTTATATATTAATCTTGTATCCTACTACTTTGCTGAATTATTCTATTAATTTCAGCAACTTTCCTATGAGGTGTCTGGGATTTTCTAAGTATAAAATCATGTCATGTGCAAATAGTGATGGATTTACGTCTTTCTTTGCAATTTGGACATCCCTTTCTTCCCTTTCTTTGTCTTACTTCACTAGCTGTTATTTTCTTTTGCAGTGGTGTCTGTCATACTTTGCTATCAGAGCAGAGAATGAACTGGGGAGTGTCCATTCCTTTTGTATGTTCTAGAAAAGCCTGAGCAGAGTTGATGTCTGTAGTGTACTTAATTAAAATGGGCATTCTGTTGGTGAATTTCTTGGATTCTATGTTAAATTCCTGAAACTGACAGTAAATTTTCAGCATGCCATTTGTCCCAGATCTTTCTTGGATCTACTTGGTTTCAGAGAAATATATATGCTTTATTGAAGACATCTCCTTTGAGATTCAATAATTTCTTGAAAAGGAGATGGAAAGCTAACCTCTCACTCAATTTATAAGATTTCCTTCATAATTGGGTTATGAATCTGTATCTCACTACAGCCTATGTATAGAATGCTATTATTTCATTAAAGTTCTGTAACTTCAATTTGAATCATACGCAGTCAGATAGTTTTACAGTTTAAGCAGTCTCACTCTTATAAATGTTATTTGTCTCAGATTTCTGAGTTAGAGCATATGATGCTATTGGCATGCTTTGTCTGGTCCAATATGTAATAAAATACCCTGGAGTTCAAGAAGCTAAAAAAACAGAAGGGTGAGATGTCTGCAGCCGGGAAACTCCAGTATATCTGGAGGAGAAGGGGTTTTGTGGAACCCATGGTAAATAAAACCACATGAAGAGCACTGAATATATCAATATTCAATGAATTCAATATTCAATAGACATTCCCATATCAATAGTCAATGGACTGCCAAAAGAACTAACAAATCTATCTTTGAGGAAGTGGAACCAAGGTGTTCCTTAGAGACAAGGATGGTCCAGTTTTGTCTCATATATTTTGGGCATGCTGTCAGGAAGGGCTAGTCCTTGGGAAAAGATATCATGTTGGAAAAGATAGAAGTCAGCAAAAGAGAGGATATACCTCAAGGAGATGGATTGACAAGTGACTCTAACCATGGGCTGCAACCTGGTAGAGATTATGAGGATGGCACAGGACAGAACAAGGCTCTGATCTCTTGTTCATAGTGTTGTTTGAATTGTAGTCCACCTGGCAGCACCTGACAGGAAGAGTAAACCTAGGAGTTAAATTATCCAGAACACATATAATTTGTTTTAAAAAAAAATATTCATTTCAACTGTGGATTTTAAATTTCAAAGCCATTTTAGGTGTTTTCTCAAAAATTTAATAATTTACAGATTATCTTACAAGTAGATTAAGTGCAAGATTTAAATCTAACCTTCCTTCAGCAGTGTTTATCTGCTGGTAACAAAGCTTAAATAATCA